TAGTGTGTATAGATATATATAACATATAGTGTGTATAGATATACATAGCAAACAAGTGGCGCTTAAGACATGTATAGTAAATATGGACCAAAAACATGCATGTTAGGCTGCCTTCAGGCCCAGGCCTCCCTAGCAAAAGAGATTTGTGATCTCAATGGGATTTGCCTGGTTAAATAAAAGTTAATAAATGGTAAATGGGTTGTACTTATACAACACTTTTCTGTTTTATCAAGACACTCAAAGCGCTTTACAATACAATCTGTGTCCTCATTTACCCATTCATACAGCACTCTACTAGATCTGTACAAAGAATAATCAGTGCTTTATCACATTCAGACACCGATGGGACACTCATCCGAGGCAATGAGGGGTTCAGTGTCTTGCCCAGGGACACTTCGGCGTGTGACTGCTGGTGGAATCGAACCTCCAACTCTTGCATTGGAGGAGGACAGCTCTAGCCACTCAGCCACAGCCACCCCATGTACATGTATGCATAGTAATAAACATAAAATGGTTAAAATTCTTAAACAATAATAATAAATAAAAAATAATAAACATAGGCATTTTATTCAAACTCCTTGCAAGTATTTTATTAATACAATATTTTATTTATGGTATATGGTGACCTCTGTAAATATGTACTAATGAGTCAGCTAGCCTATAAGTGTAAAGTTAACATTTGCAAGTTTAAAGTAAGACTAAGTCCTAAATTAAGAAAAGACCATGATAAGTAGGTCACAGATCACTTCCAAGTCGTTGGATTTCATCAAGGAAGAAGTCCATGTCTTTGTGTGAAACAAGTGGAGAAAAGACAGTCACGCGGAAAAAGTTGACCATGTCTCCAAGAGGCTGGTAGCCCACCATCAGCGTGCCTTGTTTCATCATACGCTCCTTGATTGTTGGAGCTACCTGTTAGTAAAAAACATTTATCTGTAATATTCACAAGATTATGGCTGCTTTTAACAAACAGGCTGCATTTCATCAACTCTAGAGAAGTGTGTGTGATATATATAAAAACAATGAAATCTCAAATGCTGATGCTTCAATGTTCAATCCAAATCTCACCAGTGCAATACAGAAACTTACATTAGCCAATTTGTTCTGGTAATCAGCATTTCCTTCCCTCCCTCTCAGACTCGGTGGTACGAACCAGAAGCATACGTTCACAAACTCTGGCTGTCCGCAGAATTCAAACATGCAGTTTTAATATTTTACTGACAAAATATGCATTTTAAGCTACAGAGATGAACTTACCTCACTTAGCAGATGGAATCCATCTCTTTTCTTCATTTGATTCACTAAATACCTGCAAGACAGATACTTGATGAAGAAAACAACTCACCGATGCTCCAGATGTAAAAGCGCAGACACAGGTTGTCAAAACAGCTGTAGAGGAATCATAGAGTGAAAAAAATGTTTTCCTGCAAAGCAAATCTAAATGATTAATGTTCTTCTTGTTGTGTTTAGAATAAGTGACAATGTGGTTTGTATCTTTTTGTATCTTTATTATTCGTCAGAGACTGCTTTTTGTCTGCACCGAACAGCCTAAAACATTTCTTCAAGGTAAAGTAAGTCAGTTTTTATAGATGTGAAAAAATGTGTGACATTTTTTTCTAAAATGTTTTTATTTAGCATATTTTAAATGTATTATAAAAGGATGTTACTGTTTTTTGTTTGGCTGCCTTGTTCCGCTGAGGTTATCACAGTGAGCAAACTCACATGAAAGATTTGGTTTTACGCCAAACATGATGCAACTTGGGCTCAACCCCACAACTTCATTATTACAAGACTGCAGCACTGACCCCCGAGCTGCCACTGCCTCAAGGCACATCTGAGAGTGAGCAAATTATCTTGGAATATAAATCCTACAGTGAGCTGTATCTGCAATAAACTGAGACTGCATTCAATTTACCTGTGAAATATTAAAAAAGAAGTTGCATTTAAGATGTTGGCATTATTGAGTCTATGCAAAGCCTCCTCAGACAATAGACAACAATCTGTTATTTACCTCACAAGAATAAAAGCTTTGTCAACACGCTCTTCCAAGCCACATGAGCCGACAGCTTTCCACATCAACCACAACTTCAGGCAATCCACTTTGCGGCTGCACTGCACAGACTTATCCCCGACGTCCAGGTTCACATCGTAAAACTTGTCTTGTTGGAAAAGATACGAGGCATTTGAGCTGTGGCACCGCTTCAGTAAGTTCTGAAGACAATTGTAAATAATAATAAAAATGATGGGCCTGTTTAACCAAAACTCAGCAGTTATTAATGCATAATGAGTGAAATCAAACCGTGGTGTCTTTGAGCAGCAGGGCAGAACACTGCAGGCCAGCTACCAGCATTTTGTGGGGATTCCAGGCTACTGAATCTGCTCTTGTGTCACACACATATACGTATAATGTAAATAATGACAGCAGCTTCAAAACCGTTTAGTTTTGCTCATGCAAGCTAAACACGAAGGTCATCACAAAGTAAAATACACCTTAAGTTAATACCTGTGAACACCTTTCATTAGGTGTCGGTGCTGCTTGGAAAAGAGCACACTTCCTCCCCAGGCGGCCTGAAACAAGACAAAAGTCAAAGCTCCTCACAATAAAGAACTTACTAATACAAGACAGTCTCATGGAGGACTCACGTCGACGTGCATCCACAGCTTGTGTTTGTCACAAACATCGGCTATTCCATCCAGCGGGTCGAATGCACCCTGCACCGTGGTGCCCGCTGTGCAGCTCACTAGAAGTGGAACTACACCCTGACAGCAGAAAACAGGAAGTGAGTCTAATTTATGTCAACTTGAAGTTTGATATGCACAAATGTATCTTTTTATATAATGTGCTTAAGGAAGTTTACCTGAGATTTTAAAAGCTCTATCTGTTCATCCAGGTCCTCTGGGATCATATGACCTCTATACGATACGAGAATGTGCACAAGTAAAGGAAATCAGGCAAAATAAGAGACTGAGACTGGCAAAGCACGAGTCTTGGAGTGTTTTCTTCAGTCGTATTAGATTATACACATTGTTTTCCTACTTCTACATGATAAAAATCGACATTACCTTTCATCCACCTTCACCAAGATGACATTATCTGTTCCAAACCCCAGAAACGCTGCCCCCTTCTTCACAGAGTAATGGCTCTAAAACACAAGATACACGCTTCTGACATGTGATTTTCATCCAACTCCTCAGATCAAGTTTTACTCTGTAATCAGACATGGAGTGCTGAACATCTGTCCTGACCTCTGGAGATGTGAAGATGGCCAGGCGTGGGAGAGCCCAGAGGCCCTGACTTTTGACCTTTGGGAAGAGTCTGTAGCGTGCGAGGTTCATGGCATACATGTTGGAGGTGGACCCCCCAGGGCAGAAAATACCATCGCCTTCTGTCCAGCCCACCAGCTGACGAAGGCTTCTCAGAACCTCGAGTTCCATCAGCACAAAGACTGGTGCCACTTCGTAAGTGAAGCTGCAGGAAACATTTACCATCTCTGATCATTAACGGGTTGGAACTCTTCTTGTACACTCAAGATTTTGTTTTTTATTTTTTAAATACGGATCTGAAGGCGGTGTCACAGAGCTACAACTTTTGGGAGGCGAGTTGGTGGAAAAAATCCCTCAAAACTGAGAGAAAATGTGCATTTTCCATTAGTTTCACTGAACTCTGATGTTAGCAACCAAGTGACCAGCGAGATGCGTGGTCGAGTTTGGAGTGGACACTTGTTGAAAATCACAGCCTATTTTCGTGTGTCCATTTTGAAAAACTGTATTTTTGGCCATGCACATTATTTTGTTCCCACCTCAGCAGCTGCTCCCACATTTATGATTTAATCTGCTGGAGAGCTTTGAATTAAAAACATATGGACATCAACGGAGATGTTTCTTGTCAAATCTTTCCTTGGACATCATTCTGTTTAAAACTATAACGTTAACTCACAGTATAAAATAAAATGGTACCTGATTAAATGAATATTTCTTTATCCAACGGCAGATTTTTTTTTTTTTTAAGAATCATTAAAACAGGAACATCTGTTGCCTGGAAAGTTATTTAACAAATGTAAATGAGTTCTACATTTTATCAAATATTGCAGAACTAAATAATTATTTTTCACAATACGTTTTGTTACAAAATTTGTAACAATTGTTTTAGGATTGCAATAGTTTTTTTTTTTTAATCTAAAATAATTTGTGTGGATCTTTTCTTGT